CGTTCCCCTCGCCCGCCGTCGGGCAGGGCCGGGAGGGGGCGGGCGCTTGCACCGGCGCCCCCATCAAAGCTCCCTCTCCGAGAAGGGCCCTCCTGGCGAGGGCACAGCCTAGCACCGCGGGCACAGCCAAACTGAGGAAAGGCTGTTGTTGGCTGTTACAATTTTGGCCTTCCCGCTTGTCCGCAAACGGAATTACTGCCACCAGCCGAAAAATAAAAGTTCTACCTACCAACCCACGGCCTAGATTTACTCTTCTACGGCAATTCGTGGCGGTACTTAATGATTGTAGGAGAGGCAGCATCCAAAAATGTAAACCAATTAAATAAAGCTCAGTGGCATTTTTTGTATTATTAAAAGAAATTTAATATAATTTTTAAATTAAAAAATTCAATCTCTATTAAAGACACTGAGTCAGGTGCTAATACTGTCAGACATACCCTTTTGGCATGAGTTGTACATACAATTTAAGATTTTATGCATTGCTTCAACGTGTTAAGAAACCATCTCTTCATACTTACAGTAGCAATAAAGTCAATTCCGTACAATATCAAATATCCTTTTTTTAAAAAAAGTTTTAAATATATTAGACTCTGATTGCCAAAATGCCATTTTATACACAAAGCTGCTAATACAATATACAGTTCTTACATTATTTTTTTTCACATAAAATACATTTCCTCAAGTTTTATTTGTACATTGTTTACTACAGATCGATGGAATTACAAATTATTGCAGAAGGCTTGCCATCGTGTGTGAATATCCTGTACGTGCAGCAGTCACACCGAGCTGTACCAGGGTTACCGACACCGCTGTAGTCCCTTCTCACACTGCAATCTACAGGCTGAAGACGTAGCGGTGGCAATACTAAGGCTGAATCTGCACTGTTTTAAAACTGTATCTCCCCTCCAGCTGCGCATGGAGATAATTGCATTGGTGCAGGTTTGGGAACAGGAATCTTGAGCACAGACTCCTCTCCTACAGCTTCCACAGTTCAAATATAGCAAAATATTCTAGGTCATAATGGTGCCATTGACAGATGTTGCCTGAAGAACCCAGCGGAACTCGAATTGTGTGGGGGAACGGAGAAGTCCACTGCCAGTGTGGGAAACAGCAAAATAAAGCTGAACAACAACCAGGGACAACAAATCCTGTTGTACAGCCACAGAAAACACAAAACCAAAATGTAAATACTAGCTGTGTTCTGCAGTGAAGAAGGTAGACCTCGCTACTACAAGTGCGTTCTGGACTCTGCCTGTAAAGAACTGCTATAGCAAAGTAGGTCAACGTGATTTGTTAAATTAGAATGAAGACCCTGTGCATTTCCTTTCTGCGTTTTTAGGAAGAGAGAGCAGTGATCATGAGAGAAGCTGAAGGAACAAATAAAAAGTTCAAAATCCGGTATGCTCTGAACTGCTATCCCTTTGCAAAATAGTCTCTAACTTAAAGAACTGTATAGTCACCACCAACCTTCCAGAGACTAGTTACTGAGTTACGTTTACCAAGTATGATAAGGCACAGAAATATCCAGACGCAGGGAGAACACCTTCCAGCAGATGGACAACAGTTCTTCTATGGCTCACGGGACACCAGTGCTATTGCTTGTTCCGTTAAGATATTCCTACTTCATGGTATCGCTGATTTAGTTTCAGCAGAGATTTGGGTAAAGAGAGGTCCAAGATTAAAGCAAAAGGACACTAAAGGGGAGTTGCAATGCCATTTGGGAGCTTGTAAGTGCTTTCAACCCCATGAAATAAGACCCTGCTCAATAAACTAGAGAATTCGCTGCCTCCACTGAGTATTGCACTGATTCATTATTGCTGTTGGCCTGCCATGCGCTTCTCCTTCCCAACCAGGAGTTCCTCATACCTCTGGTTCTTCAACCACGCCTGCAAGATGGTACCGAATCACAGCAGCTAGTGTCAGTTATTCCCAAAATTGGAAGGGTTTTAAGACTCTGGAGCACCACAGAAGTGAGAGTAAGTGGGCTAAAATCGCATCATTCAGTACATGAAATACAGATCCAGCTCTGACATCAAATGGATCCCAGCAACGGTACTTAAGCCCTTATCTAACATTTCAGTGCTGGGACTTCCTTGGTTGAGATCAGTAAAGCAGAGACACTATTTTGAGACACCCCTTTTCTCCATCTGAAAAAAAAAAAAGCCTTTCAACATGGAACATCAAGCAGCACATGGGAAGAAGCCTTTCAACATGGAACATCAAGCAGCACATGCCACCACATTTTGCAAGCGGAAGGGTTATTCTCATGGGCAGCTTGGCCTACAATAAATAGACCTGTCTACACCCATGTTCTCAAATCTTTGTGTAGTCCCTGTGAAAACTACAACTTTTGGTTTACTGCTAACAAAAGCGGCACTCTAATCTGACCTTGAATCTGTACTTAGATGTTTATTGAGCCTAAACCCACCAAGTATAGCATTAAAAAAAAAACGAAACAAAATCTTCCTCTAATAAGCCAAGTGCTAGATATGCCAATCACAATATGATTTCTATTTTCTACCGTTTTTAGCAATATTAAGATCCAATGAAATAGCCAAGTGCCCTCTGCTATGTACCTCAGCGCTTTCCACTGGGATGGATGGCCTTTAAAACACATAGACATAAAAAAACCCACTATTGTTGTAATACTGCTAGATTTATAATAAAAAGCCCTATTCCTAGAGGTAGGCTCCTACAATGCACATATAAAGGTGTCTACGTGTTTATTATTCCCCCAAAAGCCTGTTTGTCTCTACAAAATACCTTACCAGAAGCAGGTTAAATACCCACTTTACAGCACTGCTCATCCCAGACCCCGAACCAACAACTCTGCACGCAGCATGAACTGCCAGCTCCTTCCCTGAGCGTATTTGCCAGTGCCCCACAGGCATTGACCATCACATCCAGAATGTCACCAGCACATAAGCACGAAGCCATTCCAGGTCACTATTCAACAGCCTTCGCAAGTCCCACTGTCATGCAACTTCAGCCCAAAGCCAGTGGTACATAAATACTTGGCATGGATGTGAAACATATCCTGGAACATTTATCGATTGCTGACTCTCTCATCTGAGTAAGGATTGGTTACGTTTGATCAGATGCCACTCAACTTCAGTGAGCATGCTTCCAGCAATAAAGCCAGAAGAGCCGTGTTACAGCCAATTTTACAATTACAATACAAAGTCCAATTAGGGGGATGTTCTGTAACCTAGAATCTGTAGTAGCTTTTGCCTGATAGTAAATCAATTGTTGGTTTGCTCAAGGTCACAGCTAGAGTGATGAGTTCCTGGAGTTTTACATATAAACAGAGTGAAATACCAATGGACTAAAAGCTGTTAGTCTAAAATGGACTGGCTTCCTACAGTTTTAATGTATTAACAATCCTCAGTGAAAGCAAGCCTCAAACTACTTAACGCTATTGCACTCAGTGGTATCCTTTTCATTTGCTTGGAGTTGGGTAGGATTCAATACACTTGACAGCACAAAATTGCACTGAGAAGGAAAAGGGCCCGGCTCCTCCTTCCCTGGGAGGGAAGACATCAGCTAGGCCCAAATTTTGCGCCACTTACAACCTAGTGGATAGCAGCACCGAAATTTGTTACACTGAGTCCAGACTTCTCATTAGGATGGATGTGGAGAGACAACCCCACCACCAGGGGAGAAGAGAGGCACCTGTAAGATCACGTCTCCCCATTCAGTAATACCCAGGCTACACTTGGTGTTATCCCAGAAGACTTCTCCCCAAGGTAATCAGAGGACCCAGTGTTAACCACACACAGATGCAGTAAAGTCTGTCCAGTTACCAAATCATCTTCTTTCTACTAGAGAATGTAATCATTCCTTAAGGTTAAGTCAAGCACAATAGTATTTTCTGGTCTTATGTTTAGCATATGCGTTTCAATAAAGGAGGAAGCCCAACTTCTCTGACCATTTCAAAACATACATAGAATTCCCCTGCCTTAAACTGAACGGAGGTTTTAAAAAAAAAAAATCAGATCAGCTGCTACCATTTTCTAATTTGTTCCTAAAATTGGTGAGGGAAGAGAATTGTACTTTCAGAGATCAAAAGAGTAAATTGTCAGCCTGGTAATAACCTCACAGGTCCAAAAGTGTGTGGTGGTGAGACACAGCCACCTCTGCTGCCTCAAGGAGGAGAGAATGAGGAGCCCAGAGCCTTGTATCATAAAATACCCAGCCCCAGCGAAGGTCTAGGTTTGAGGGGGAGCAGAGGGTAGCACTTAACAGTGACTGGCAGCCTAAGTCAACTTTTTATAGCCTAGAAAAAAGGAAAGGCTGTGAGGATTCCCAAAGGGGGAGTGTACATGTGAAGCGTAATATTGATATCTAACAGCCGCCAGCTAAAAGGAAGATTGGTGGAAGCTGCATTTGCCATTGCCTGGCTGAAGCACAACTGCGTGAGCTGGATTGAATCCACTGATGGCTTACAGAGACCCAAACGGGCTTCTATTTTCAGAGTTTGGAATTTAAGCTGCCCAAGAAAACACATATTCGTGCAGGCAAAGAGTTATGTGTGCAATAGCCCCTCTGTGCAGAAAAAGGGTTGAGTTACTTCTGTAGATACAACTTGTTAACTCAGCTGTGGGCAGTTCCTCAGAGCTGTCTCCCACGGGGCGCTCTCCTTTCGCCTCCCCCAGGTATGCAAAGCCTTAACTTGCTGAAGAGCCAGTGCCAACCCCCCCGGTTACATGGTGCTGGTGTTTCTCGGGCAGTCTGTCAGAGCTAACATAAACTACACTAAACCACGGGTGTTGGTGTGCCAGCTGCTCTACAGCAGACAGGCACCAGGCGATTCCCTTATACACAGAGCCATTTAAGTCTTCTGACAGCTACTAATCACTGCTGATGACTTCAGCACAGGAGCCGGAAAAACAGACAAAAAAAAAATCCTGCCCTCCTGCAATGTTCAGCTACAAAAGCAATGATTTAATATTTATTTATCAGCCAAAGACTGCAGGTTAATGCAAGTGTCGTACATCTAGGGACATTAGAAATGCTTTCACGACATTTCTAGGTTAGTGTCGACAAGCCTTTCCTTCTCATCCTTCCCGAGCTCTGTGGTTCTGGAAATCCAGAAAAATCAGAACGCAAAGCATACTGCCCCTACTATCTGTGTCGAGCATACAGAGTAAATAAACAGAATCAATAGGAAAGTGAGATCAGCAAAAGTCCTTTCAGTTTTAACAAATTAAGAGTCTAAATAGTACAAATAAGGTGTTTAAATTACTTATCCCAATATAGACCTTTGTCAGTATTTTATTGCAGTAAAATTCTATTGCCAGGGCCCCTTATTGCAACATCAGTTTTAAAGCCTATTGAGTGAAGCCTGTCCCAGGAAAAGTTCTGCTTAAAACCTGATGGCAGTCTGCAGTGATGAGTTTACATGAGCAGAACAGGACCCAACCAGTGCACAGTTTTTGATGGCGAGCTGTCACTGCAAGGAGATAACACCTTGCAAACTTCCTAAAGCAAGCGCAGCATCTATGCTTGCTTGTTGCTCAGGCCCTGTAAGTGCTGGATCCAGCTGTACGGAAAACAGCTCTGTCCACTCTTGCAAACCCCGTGTGGGGCTTGATCTCGCCTCCAGGATATATATATGCATCACTCGAGTGAGAATTCAGGTCTGAACTGTCACCTTCCAGAAGCTTGGTGACTTACAGCAAGAGGCTCAGATGCAAAGATTTTAATTCAGATCCTTTCTTCATTCCAAGGCATCTCATGACTTCCCAAGGATGGGGAGGCAGTGCGCCATACCTTCTTCCCCAGGGAGCAAGACTAGGGTGACTCTTTTTACATCATACTGACGTGCATCCCTTCCTCTCCTAAAAGCCTTGCTCCTCCTGCATTACTCATTCAACTGCAATGGAAGTAATTGGCAGGGTAAAGTACGATTCAAGATGAACGAGGCTGCCGCAGTCAGGATGTCCATAACTAGATTCTCCCTGTGGAATGCAAACAACCTGACCGCTGTGATGGATCCAACCAGCCCACCCATGTCTTGTTTCCTTTGGGATGAGAAACAGGGGAGACTAGGAAATTCTGCAGCACCCATGCACCTTCTCTTCCATTTCCTCCATGGGAGCTTTGAATTTCAAGAGGGGTGGATCACCACTGGACACTGTGTAATACACTGAGGTCCCATTGGAGCTGTAGGGAGAAGTCCTGGATCCAATTAGGTGTGACTTGGCCTCACCCCCGTTCTCAGCAACTCCTCCCATGCCGCTGCCGAAGTGGGTGCTGAGGAAAGGGTGATTGAGGAGTTTGGCTGCAGCCCGCTGCCGCTTAAGTTCGGAGAGCGTTTGATGGTTATGCTCCTTGTAGGCACCCCAGAACTGCTGTGTGTCAGGGAGCCCGGGGTTGCCGTAGGGCAGCATGTGGCCTGGGTTACTGTCAGGGTCAGCGTGCATACTCCAAATGTCCCCATTGGAAAAGGTGTACTGGTAAGTGCTGGCAGATGCCATGAGGCCATTCTGTAGGGGGATTTCAGAGTCACACTGGGTGCTTTTGTTTGCCAACTCCGGAAGGAGGGAAGAGTTCTCCAGCACTGAATTCTGTAACAACAAGAGATGAAAGAGCAGATCTTCTCCTGTCCCTCAAAACCCAGTTTGTCCCTGTGACAATTCCTAAGCTTGCTCACACTAAGCCCTTCCACCAGACAGCACAAACACTGAATCCACCCTCTAACAGGACCCTATATTGCTGTGAGCCCCAACCAGGAGCTGGCTCCCAACCAGGAACATGGAACATTAACTCAGAAGGATTCCCTCACAAAAAAAATTTACAGATAGATAAGCATATGTTAATATAACATGACAGTAACTGAATTAAAAACAAACAGCTGCAAAACAAGATTACAATTCTTTAGTGACTACCAGTGTGTTAGCTGTAAAGAGAAATGCACACGCTATTTTTTCTGAACTCCCTGATTCACTACGGCCATATCTCAAAACTATGCAGCTGTAAATCCCAACTAATCTTTCCACATGAGTGGGATATCCTGGTTTATACCAAATGAGAATTTGGTCTTTTGCTTACAGGACGGTTTACATTTACATTTGCTTACATGGATGAGGTTTATGAATTTTTCAACCACCTTCCAACCCCAGGGTACCCATTGCTATCAAACCTGTGCTACCAGCCCTTTCCTCTGTGATTCCCATCATACTCAAGAGATTCCTTACAGGGTCTGTGTTCTCCTGGTCAGACCGAGTCTCCCCAATTTCTCCAATGAGACCCGAGTTTCTTCCTTCTTCTGCCGCCCCCAGCTGCTGCCAGACAATGGCCTCTTTCTCACACTCCTTCCTGTAGAGGTTTGTTCGGTCCGAAAGGCTGGCCCTCCTCACCACCTTCCTGCGGGACAGGGAGAAGGGGCATCAAAGCCGTGAGCAGGACATGACTTTTCCTCTTACCCTGTAGCTCTTCTTGCCTCCTCCTCACACTTTGCAGCCTCTCCCACTGGAATGGAACGTGAGTTTAGCTTCCTGGCACCCACACAAAGCAAAGGCACTAGTGTGGATATTAAAGGTGGGAGGAATTTGAAGGAGTTTTAAAGTAGTACTGCAAACATGCGTTAGATCTCATACAGCTCACCTAATGGATCTACTCTGCAACCAGCTGAGTAAATGTAGAGGGAAAGGGCCCACGGGCTGTTTAGGGAGTTTTGTGGTTTGCAGGACTCCTTTGGTGTCTAGTAAACATCTTATAAATACCTGCGCAAACTGTCTCTGAACACAGTATCTTGGCCATCAGACATATTATTGAGAAGCTCAAGTTAATCCATTTGAAGCACTGATTCTCAGACACCAGTATCAGTGGTTTAACAAGGTAAATTCTCACCATTTGGTTCTCTGTTCAGAGCAGTCTTTAAACCACAACAGCACAGAGCCATTTTCCCCCCCAAGGAACAACACCTCTTTCTAGTGAAAGAACCACTCTTCAAAGGAGCTCTTCCCTCAGCAACCAAAGTCAGGTTCTGCCTTTCGGAGTTCATTCGGAAAGGACAGAGGGGTTGTCCTCCACACGCCGACACCACGTCTGGGTGGCCCAGCTAAAGCACCGGGTGACCTGTGGGGAACAACACACTTACCCCCGGCTGCCAGTGCTGGAGGTCCTTCGACTCAGGGAGGATTTATGCCTCATCTGAGACTTCATGATCACATCGTGTTTGTGTTTCAACTCCAGAAGTAAGACTTTGAATTCCTCCTCTTCACACAGATCTATGGCACACACAAACCAAGCCGTTAATCCGATGGTTCAAATGTGGTACCATTAACACCGTGTTACTAACTGCACCTTCCTAGTATACACCACTGCAAATGCTAGGAGGAAGAGAAGGGAAATTTAAGGAGAATATGCTTAGGCACTTTAATCTCTAAACAAATTAGGGGAGGCAGAATGGTTTGGACACCTAAACAGGAGCAGAAAACAAGAGCTGCTGGTTGTGATGGGGGCTCAGCTTTGCGATGTTCCAGCTGTTCAGGCAGGTTGTCCCAGCTCTGCAGCATCCTGTGCCTCTACCCATGAAAGGGCAAGAGATATATTGACCACTGTATCAATGCTTCAAGATGGAAGGAAAAGAAATTTCTGTAATTACCAGACTGCAGCTCCCCTGAATACAGCATTTCTACTGAAGCCTCCAAAACAAAAAAGAATATAGACAAAAGCAAAGCAGACGAGGGTAGAACGATGACTTTCAACCTCCAAACCAAAGATTAACAGATTTTTCAATTAAGGCTCAGAAAACCTGAGCAAAGTTAAGCCACCCAGGTCCTAGGGCGGTATTCAACAGCTGCTCAGATCCAAGACTACAATATAAGAGCAGGGAGACTCCCAAGCACAGGTACAGAGGGATAACATGAGTGCAAACACACAGGAGAAAGATGTGGTGCTTAAGAAATTCCTTCTCCCTTGTTTTTTATGAGCAGGAAGAAGCGTTTTCAGAAGTAACAAAGTAGGCACTTTAAAACTTCAGTCCCAGTTAAAGTAACTGCAATTTTGATATGAAAGACACCTGAAAAATAACTGTAATGCTTCTGAAAGCACCATGTGAAGACTCCAGCACACTAAGGGGGAAAAACTTTTCTTAGTTATCTCTTTCTTTTAAGCTTAGTAAACTCACCTATTGGCATCTCATCCAAAGATGTCCTGGCACTCAGACTAGCCCCATGGGACACAAGCAACTCAGCCATCTGCATCTAAAGAAAGGGAAAGAAAGCCAAGTTGATAGAGGAATTTTAGGCAATTGCTTTCCTCCTCAAAGCTGAAAAACTGGAATAAGATAAGAAGCAATGGCACACTTGCTCAACTCGCCTTGAATTATTCTGGTGTGTAATGTTAAATGTTGTTCCTACCACTTAACTGCACAGATATGCTCTCCTCGAACTTTCTCAGCAACAGGTTCTTTTTGGAGCCCCAAGGACCTCACCTAACACTGTCCAGTGAGTCCAGACCCAGTACAGATTTCTTCCATTTGTGGAGTACTCCATAATTTGTCCAGGCAGAAAGAAATGTCACCCTTATACATGACATTTGCAACAAAATCATTACCTGTCCCCAGAAAGCAGCAGCATGAAGAGGTTCCCAGCCGTCCCAGTCCTTAACATCTAGACTTGCCCCTTGATCAAGAAGGACTTCAGCTGCATGCAGGTAACCATTGGCTGCAGCTATATGCAGCTAGGAGACAAGGAACAGAGCATGAACCACCTGCAAGGACCACGAATGGTTTTATAGACCAAGTTTCAGTGGAATTTCTTGCATAACATCTGAGTCTATATCTGGACAGGCAGCACATTTCACATTTGGCAGATGCCATCAGGTCAAAAGCAGGTTGTCCCTGTTACTAAAACTCAGTATTACCTGCATATAATTCTGTTTGGAGAGGAAATGCCAACTCCAACTGCACTTCCACTCACGCTGTAATTGTTTTCACCATTTGAAAATCAAAAACATTTTAATCCTTGGCTGCTTGGTTAAGAGAATATGATTTTTCAGATACTGGCTTCCAGCTACAACCATCACTTTGAAGACACCAATAATAGTCTCCTTTAGTCCCCCACAACACTTCATGTCTCTGAAGATTTTTATAATTGTGGTCTGCTGTTGCATCTCTGGGCAAAACATTGACCTATGCACTACTCTGAAGGTATGAACTCCACTCCGAGCTCATCCTATTTGAACTGTGCTGAAGAGGAGAATTAAAGCTTCTTTTCAAAAATTTCCATGTGGACTCCAACACAAAGTTAAACCCCCATCTGGCAATAAATTCTGATGCTTTCTGGCAATTCAATTAATTTCTACATAAATATTATGGCACTGGGTCATACCCTCTAGAGGCCATATGAATTAACAAGGAATCACTTGGGGGTGATATAAAAAGGGAAGCCAAGAGGTCTGCTTAAATTTACGTGTACAATCCCTGTTAGAGGGAAAAATGTGTCAAAAAAATAAGCTGCAATAAAAGCTTCAGTCATCTGAGTTTATCTTGGAGGGAGCCTGCCCTCCCCTTATGCTCCTGATATATGCTATAAGTGACAATTTAGATTAAAAAACCTGAATGCACCTGCCATGGTCTGGCTGTCAAACAAATGACACCAAGCAGCCTGGATATCGGTTATATCTGGAACCCAAGCATCAAATGAACAAGGTTGTATGAAAGTCCCAACACATATGAAAACATTTCTGAACTTTCCCTAAGTTGGGACTGCTGTAAGCGAGGGTTTAAGACACATGTTTGCAGGTGAAAAAGAAGGGAACAGGACTAGGATTGTTCAGCCTCCTCAGTCCCTACCTAGTCACATCAGATGCTGGCTTGCTGTGTGCTGTACGTTTGTCCTGGGTGCTGTCCTCTGCCCAGGGGCAGGTGCCATCCTATGTGAATAAACACTGCACCCCATCGACTCTGTATGAGCCAGATGCTACGCGAAGCAGAAAGAAGAGGCAGAAAGTCTCCAAAGTGCCCAACACCAGTGCCTACTCCCATGAAAACCAGAGGACTCTCACGTCTCCTCCATGGGAGGCGTCAGATCAGACTAGCAAGAAGCAACAGATTACTGGGAGGTCGTTCAGTCCCATTTCCCCAGAGGTCAGTAAAGGTGCTATGTTCTGCAACTCCTTGTTGTGGGATTTCTTGCACCTTTCTTTGGAAGATGCTGGTACCAGCCACTGTCAGACAGGATCCAGGAGCTCAGCAGCCTTGGTGCAGGACCTCAGCTGCTGGACAACCAACAGACCTCACGTGAACAAGGGATTTGCTTTGGAAAGCGCAGGGTTGGACACTAAGTTACGTCAGCTGTACTCATGGACAGAGCCTGTTCCTATGTGACAATAAACTAAAACAGGGAAAAAGATCAAAACAGCTTCCTCACTCCTCTCAGTGACTTGTACTTGTGTAACTCCTGCCACAGGACAGGTTTCATAACCTACGGGCTGAAGGAAGGCAAAAGTGAAGCCGCAGCAGTTTCACTCACCAGCGTAGCACCTTGGGCATCAGTCCTGTTCAGGTCTTGTCCAGTCGCAAGTATGTCATGAATGTCACAGATCATGACCTGCTCTGGAGCAGCCCGCATCTCATTGATCCTTTCCTGGGTAATTCCTGTTAAAATTCCAGTTAGAGAGAGAAAAGTTGAACAGGGCTTTTGTCTCCACTGGTTGAGTAAAATGAGACATTAATTCCTGGTTGATATGACCCCACATCCTTTTCAGAAGCTATGTAGCTGAGGGGACTGACAGCTGTCCTTCACCCTCATCATTATTTAGGCATCAGAGAAACTAGACAGAGTCAGGTTCCAAGAAATGATGCCAGGCAGCAGATCTCTGGTTTCCTCCAGAGGCAAATCAAGAGCTGAGAAACAAGGTAATTTTTAGCACTACGTTGACCCATTTTTGTATTTTACATGAACTCGGTCTCCTTACCTTGATAGGCCATGCAAGTCTCAATGACATCCAGAGTTGGCTCATCCTCACAGAGGTCATACGGCATGTTGCCATCTGCATTCACTGCCAACAAGTCTGCTCCACTGCAAGGAGAAAGCGGTGTTACACAAGGAAGGACCTCAGACATCCTAGAGCAGACAGCGCCAAACACTGGGATAAACACTTAGCAAAAACTAACTGGGGTTTAATAGTTGCCCAAATCTCACCAAGATTTGCGTGAGATAAGAAAGATTTGAAGCAAAGCCATGCAGCTATGCATGGGGAAGATAAAATTCCAGAAGTGGATGAAAGGCAGCACGCTATGCCTCCTTCATGGGCTGTGGTGCACATGAGCCACTGAGCCATTCCCGTCCTCTCCTGATCCTGGCACTGGACAGGCTGGCAGCTTCTCAATGATGGAAGTGATTTATTTGCTGAATTTCTGGACAACAATGCCAAGCAACTGCCGGGTGCTTATCATCTGGGCATCTGGCAGTGCTTCAGTGAAAAGTTCACAAGGACCAGAAAAGCTGGGAAAGACAGGGGCTGGATGGTGGAGGGCGCCTTCCATTTAGCCAAGGCCACATTTGCAAAAAATAGTAATTAAAAAAACCCCTATCCTGTCAACTGGCAAATTTTTCTTTCTGATTGTCCAAAAGCACTTCTCTAAGTGCTTTAGTGACCTCCAGGAGGTCACTATTGGGAAGTAAAATTGCCAGCTAAACTGATCACTGTCCCCATACTCCCACACAGTAGAAAATTCCCAGCACTTTCTGAACTGTGCCATTTTAGCCAGCTGTTAACTTATTTCAGCTGAATTCTGATTCACCTTGACAGTTATCAGCCACGGAAGGACAGCAGACAGTATCCACATGAATTTAGATTCCTGTTTCTTTATTTATTTTTTTCCCTTCTGCCTGAGCAGAGCAAACTGCACTGAAATTCACATTGGCAAAGTACCAGCGTTAGTTTAATCAACAAATAAAAAAGCAAGGAACTGGGCATCTTTTGTGGGCTACTTCCTCTGGTGGTCTCCAAGGGTTCCAGGACCCATCACCAGTAACACTGCCTTCAAAGGCAGTGTTTAGCTGGTTATTTGTTATGTGACATCTCCTGTAAAGGACACCTTTGATGGTAGCAAACAAATTAAATCACCCTATTCCTCAAAAGTCCAGGGGAAGACTGTTTCTGAGCACGGGATCATAATATGAGGCTACTAGAGTCCACATTCGCTGGCAACTACTCAACACATGGCAGTCTGTGACAACTAGGGCCATAAACTCCAGTTCCTCACCTTGCCACCCATCCCCATGACGCTCCCTTATCTTCACTTAAGAGTCAGGAATGCGCTATATTGTTCCACATTTGTTTGCTCCGTTTTTATGCCCCCCATCCAAAAATTTCCTAACCCAAGTGAGAACGTCCTCCAAGGGATGATTGTTTGCATCCTCTGCTCCACTTCCTCCATTATACAGCCAAAGAAGAAGGGATGGACTTTTCTGTGCTAGTCTCCCAGATGACAGCATCACAGGCAGAAGTCTCCCTCCCCAAGGGAAAAGCAGCAGGCCCCACTGTGCAAGGCAGCACGTTAACGCTCCCAAAGCACACTCCGCTCCCTACACCCTCCCTCTGGGAAATGGAGGAGAGGGCTCCATACAGAGTCAGGGCTGTCTGCTCCAGGCAGGATGCACAGCAGGTACTCATTAAATGCTGCACATGGTACAGCTCGAAACACAACTGGCTTCCTCCTCGCTGGCAAGTCTTGAGCTTTAGGACCTTTGGTAAAGTCAAGCGGAAGGTCCAGTGCAAGCACCCTGTGTCACACCGCTGGGGAACAAATGCATTACGAGAAGTAACTGGTTATTAGTTAAGAGCCAGTAAGACAGGTCACAAAGTTCACCCACGTATTTGAGCTACACAAACACGCTGCTATCCTCCTACATCAGCGTCTCTCTGACTGTGGCTGGAAGACCTGAAGTCATGTTTAAGAGCTTGAGGATGGATCCCGCTGGCTGCTCCTATTTCTACCCATCCAGTAAGCATGGTTCAACACCAGAATACAGGCAAAAAGTGGCAGATTTTGGTCCAGTCTCCAGAAGCTTCATGAAACTGAGTCAAGTCACCTAGGGTTTTACTGTGTCTCCCCAGCCTTTCTGCTCTTCCTCCTCCACCCCATTCTCCCCCAAGCAGGAAGGAGTCCCATGAATAGCCTGAAAGCAGGGAATAATCACCCCCGCTGCAATCTTGCAAGGTACTAAGCAGTCTCAGTTTCCATCCACAGAAGCTGTGGGTAGAATCAGATCTGCAGAAAGGGACAGACACAAAAAGCCACCTACTGCTGGATGAGGATCTTCACCAGGTTGATATGACCACATGTAGCTGCTGCATGCAATGGAGTCCACAGCTCGTTGTCCTTCGCGTTGACATTGGCCCCATGGTTGAGGAGAAGCTTGACTATCTCTTCATAGTTGTCTATGCAGCACTGGTGAGGAAGAGATGCAGACAGATTGGGTTTTTTAAACTTTGGAAAGATGAGGGCTTATACCTGCTCAGTTGTACCAGGGTACCTGGAGACCTACTTTATCCTGCAGTGTTTGGCAACAAGCATCTCCATCAGAGTTAAACACTACATTGAGTACCACCAGGTCAGAAAGGCACCATGCAGAACACCTACACCGGACAGACTGAAGGTCACTGGTGTTTTACATGGCCTTCTGGTTTGGGGGCAGAACCAGTAGGGAACAATAGCAAGTATGCGCACAGCTTCTGTTCCACTCTGTCTTCCATATTCAAGAGCAAACATAGCAGAAATTGAACATAACCAGTATAACCACATACCAATGGATGAGCTGACAACCTGACATTCTCTTTTCTTAGAGAAAATCCCACACACTGGCATGTGATGAGTAAAAGTCTTCCCAGCAGCTCACGCTACCTACCACAGTTATCTGAAGAAATGCAAGTTGGATTCCCAGAATTATGAGGTACTTCACAGGGCACCTTTCATCTCCTGAAAAAAAAATCAGCATCCTCGATGCACTTACACCACAGCCTCAGAGGCAGCCTGCAAGAAGGGCCTCAGCTGCTTTCCTTTGGGGAAAGTGGAATTTGCTCTTTGATACACCTCGTCCTCACTTCTTGGCATGAACACGTGTGTGATAAAGACACTAAAATAAGATTCATTCTTGTGCAAGCAGCCTGTTTGTGGTCTACGTGTTACTGCAGACCCACATGGGAGACTCACAGCTCAGCACTGCAGTATGGGCTTGTAACGGGGCTGAATTACACCCCACAACAAGCACTTCAGCAGCTGAGTGATGAGGACCTTTTACGTATTTCTACTCCTGTTTACCATTTGTATGTGAAAGTGAGGTTAAAATCACACCTGTCACACAGCCAAGTTATCACAGAAGTGTAACTGCATCCTTCACTGGAAGCCACTGCTAATGGCAATTAGTGTTCACTTAGGAGCTTCTCTCCGTTCAGGGATTCCAATTAATTCTAGTGGATGCAAAGTTCCCACCTCAAATCCCAAGTGCACCTTTATAATAACTGATCGTTCAGTGGGCAAGGTGGGATTCTCCACAGCTTCAGCACCTAGTGGGGAAAGCGATCAGGCTGTCAGCATTTCTCTGTGTGCAGAATAACATCCCTTTGGAGAGGTGGTGGTGGGGCCCTTTTATTCCTCTAGAAGCCAGTTTGCATTTTTAAGCAAACATCCCTCCAGCTTTGAAGAGAGCAAACGACTTGCAGAAGAATCCAGAATCCCAAGTCAATGGGAGCATTTACAGCAGGGACTAACGGAGAGAAAACCACGAGTTCCCGTTCCACCCTCGGAGCGAGTGTGACAACCATGCCACTGTTTGGCGGCAGCGGAGGCGGCAGCTGCCAGGCACGGCGAGTCCCCAGGGCCTTCTGCAGGCTGACTCTCCTGATGCTTTCACACTGAAAATCAGGACTCACGAGGAGGGGTAGGGATGGGGACCTTAGCAAGCAGAGTAGCAAAACCCTCAGGGCATCGGTGCAGAGGCTCTGAGGAAGGACACAGGCTTACACACCACTACGGCTAGTCTGTACTTCACTGGTGATCAGCTGCTGCCATCTCATACAGACTTTGGGAAGTCCCTGAGCCTACAGAGAGCAGCAGCAGGCCCTCCAAACATCCCCTGCATCGTTTATTTAAACCAGTTTCAAAACTCATGGGTTGCCAAAGTCTCTAAATTTGAGTTAACCTGCTTTAAGAGTTTACAGCCCAGCCCTGCAAAGATTAAAGGGTGGGAGAAACATTGTTCACATCTGGAACCCAGCCCCAATTCCTCAGCTCTTATTATCACTGAGTGATGTCTGGGATACATCAAGAGAAAGGTTTGATCTCAGTTTGCTCCCCAAGAAGCAGGATCATCAGCACAACATGGTGAAGTTTCACTGCCTTAACTAAGCAACAAAATGAAACGCAAGAGCTTTCTCCATTCTCCCCAGCAGGTCTGCTCAGAGGGTGGCAGGAAGACGTGACAGCGCGGAGCAGCAGGAGCTGCGACCCCCTCCCACACCTCACCTGATGCAGTGCAGTTAATCCATCTTCATTGCACAGGTCCGGGCTGATGTTGCTCTTCAGCAAGTAACACACTGCAAGGGAAGGAGATGGGAGGAAAGGAGTCAGGTCAGTAATCCTAACACACTTCTTGCTCTCAGCTAGCCCTGGCCAGTTCAAGACAAAGGCAACCCACGCCGTCAGGGTGTCTCAGTGCGGACAGAGCTGCAGGAGACCTCACAGCCAAGAGCCCAACACTGGCATGAACCCACAGTCACCGCAGTGCTGGTGAGGAAAAAGCCTTCTTGGTTTCATCCAGCAGAGAGCACCAGCATACAATTTTCCCCCAGCTTCCTTCCAAAAGAGACTGCTGTCGCAGCTATCATTTTCATATGGTTGTGCTGGAACAATTGACATTTTTATCTTGTGCTTTGCAACATCCGAGTGCGACATCTGCATGCTGCAGCCCAGGAGAGCTCAAAGTCAATCCATGACTTTGGGGTCCTCAGTTAAAACCATAAAAGACATCTCACTGCAGGAGGGACAAGGTCTTGACTCAAGAAGTTATCAGTCTGCGACAAGAAGCCCAATACACTCAGGGGCCTGCCACATGGAAAATACACCGGGGTTGCTTTGGACACTTCACATGAGCTGTTGGGTATTTGAAGAAAGCTTCCCAGAAGCTTTATTTTTTATTGCTGCTTTGGGGGGGAGGATAAGATGTATTCCATTAAAATGGAGATTTCTGAAAAGCCATTAGCCCCTAGATAAGAGATAAAGTTTGTTCTGAGGTACAGAACTTGCACGAGGTAATAGCAATAAGGCTGGCAGAGGAAGTAAATTAATAGCAACACCAGGAACTCTTCCAATTCAACACTGCTGACAGATCTTGATGACCTATACCCATCTTCTGTTGTTTACTTGCTCATTCCCTGCTTTTTCTCCAGAGATTTCACTGCCTAATGGTTTTCCCACCTCAAATGTCACTGACAGCACAGGGCACAAGCCAGAGGTTCATCATCATTTCCCAGGGCAGCAACAGATATTCAAGCCCCATCTTATTTGTTGGCAAAGATGCAACCATAAAGCGTAACCAGACCTGCAAAATAAGGAACGATAACAAAACTAAAAGGGCCATAACCGTCTTCGGAGCTGGCAATCAAAAAGACTGCAGGGCTGGTCACTCCCAAAGCACCCTGCAGCCTCTGCTGCTGCTGCTTTCAACTGCAAGAGCACATCAGGGCTGTCCCTGGGGACAGAGCACTTCTGGCATCCGAAGTAGAACATGGAAAACATGTTCACAATGACATCAATGTTGATTTACGAAGCTTTGTTTAAAAAATGTGGAAAATACACTTGCAAGAAAGGCAAATCAAAACCAAAGTGGAATTTTGTTTGGAAGCCATTGGTCTGATGTTATCAAAAAAGAGGGCAAAACTGGACAGAAATAAAACACATCACTCAAAATGAATGCTGGAATTTACGTTTGCTGGAAATAATTTCAAGGCATTGACACCTGCTCAATGAAACCAATACAAAAAAGCAGAATACAACAAAGAACAAAACTCATCCCCCACCACAGCGAGTCCAAAGAGCGAGATTTTCCAGCTCAAAGGGCAGTGCAGGAAGCCCACGCCTACGCTCAGCTCACACCCCCCGACACTTGCATGCTTGACAGTAATAAGAGCGCTGAACCCCAGCCAGTAAATCCAATTTAATGACCGTGCTTCTACTGTTTCTGGCCAGCCCCAAGCTCTTGCTCTCCCAGTCCAAGCTGAATGATAGGCAAGTCATTCACCAGTGGATCTGGTTGTCCCTTATTTAGTTTGGATGCTCTGCCATTAGGGTTTTAATTCAATCTCAAGTCATTTAAAAGCCATTGTGTACTAATGACGTGCAGCTCCATAATCATGTTTTGCCTGATTATGCAGACTTGGACAAGTAGATGCTGGCCAATTAACCTTACAAGTGCTGTCCCTCCATGGGAAGAAGCAGTAGCATAAATCCCAGCTTGTTATGTGGTATGGGGTTTTGTGTTGAAGGCTCTGCGATCATGGCTTGACAGAGCATGTAAGAGTCCTTGAAGGGTTAAGATTCAGAGAAGGACTTATCTTACCCTAAAGCAGCTTTGAATTCTCCATTAACCCCTGCAGCAGCCCTCGGCTTTGCATTGCACCTCCCCTTGGCTCCCATCTGCCCTCAGGACCAGCTTACCACAGCCCTCAAAACATTTCCCAGTATCTCCCAAGACACCAAAGATTGACAACCACAAGACACCAGAAAAGAGCACAGATAAGTCAGGTAACGAAGCTAGGTATGGGTGTGGTACGAATGACTCCAGGCAAACATGGCTTGAAGAAGAGATCAAACTCCTTTCCAACCAGTCCTAAGCTGAAGGGTTAGGTTCTCATCTCAGGGTTCGGCAGGGGAGCACAGGGCTGGGCAGCAATGAGTCCTGCCTCTTTTCTTTAAAGTTAAAGGGATGTCACCTTCAGTATTCCTCATGCTCCAGGCAACAAATCCCAACAGCTAGGCTTTAGTCTCCGAGAACTGCAATTTCCTATTACACGTGCCCCCTTTTACAAGCGAGGGGATTTACCCAGCGTCCCACCAAGCAGGACACCGCCCCAATTCCTACCCACCACCCCCAGCAGCTTCATCACCCCACGCTCCCTGCGGGCAACCCTGCAGAGGGATGTGGAGGGAGGACATGGACATCTTCCCCATGCCTGATACCCAGGAAGAGCCCTTCCCACACGGCTGGGAAGAACAAGTCCTCCTTTCTGATAAACTTCAGCAGAAATGTGCATTTGTGGGTTTTCCAGTGCTTTAAGAATAGGAAAAGGGGGTCACAACTGCAATGCTTTGCAGTGCTGGAAGCCAGACCTTTAGCTCCAGGGCTGTGGCACTGCCACCGACCCACTCTGCTGCTCAATGCACAACATAAGGGACAGGGGACTTGAGCAAGTGAAGTGCTTCTCTTCAGGCCTGCTGGTGCCGCACGCCTCGCTACAAAGCCCAACACCTCCTCCCACCTCCAGGCACAAATGATGTCGTACAGGTAGGAAGCGTACGCTTCAGCTTGCAAGGACGCAGATTAACCACCCGACGCCAGCTGATCGCCTTCTGTCGGCTCAAGGCTCAGCACACCACTCGTGAAAGGAAGATCCCCCCCCATACGCACACAAGGTATAGCATGGAAATGGGTCCTCTAAAAGCTCCTCTGCGAGCTCAGGTCACTCCGAGCCCAACAGAATGGGCTTTTATGGGTCACATTGGTGAGTCCAGCAGGCAGCAGCCTCCACTTTAACACTTACGATTAACTTCTTAAGGAGAGCTCAGTGCCTAAATGCTGAGCCCTTTAAAATCTATCCTTTGCATGTAGGCGGGGGGCAAGTGGGGAGAAGGGGCTGGGTGCGTGGATATACTCTATTACATGTCAAGAACAAGTTGTGGGAAGCAATTCGAAACGCATAACAAATGAAGGAATGAAAATGATTACAATAAGAGCTGGGTGAACAAATTGTTGTGAATAATTCATTGCAAATTATATTAACTGAACAATCACTCAAATGTATTTTCCATTATTCTGCTTGCTCTGCCTATAATTGAACCTCTCGCATGCCAAGATGGTGTACATTAATCTTCGATTTATATTTTATCATTCACATCTGTGCTGTGTTAAATGGAAAAAGCTCCCACAACAGCTGTGAAAATACATCTTAGGTTTTAAGTCACCCTCCATCACATGTCCTGGGGCAGCCTCAGACAGATTCTCCTCCTCGAACACAACAAGCCCACTCCTCAGGAGCTCCCTCTCCTCTCAAGCATTTCCAAGCCTCGCTTATTCTCAAAAAACCCCTATAAATCAAGGAGAAGGAAAAAAAAAACCCAAACCACTGCAGAGGCCCCAAGGAAAACTCAATGCATGGTAATCAGCTCTCTCACCTGAAGAGGTATTACAGTGCTCTCTTTTTTCATCGATGTTACTTCCCACTGAGTTTACACTAGAAGCAGCTTTTCCAGAAAAGTTCCTAAACCAGATGAAGACTTTTCCATGGAGAAAAAAATGCCTTTGTCGCTGCAGTTCCCCTGAGTCAATAAGCTACACCATAAAATTCTGGATACTATTACACTCCCATCTATACCCAGCGTTTGCATACCTCAAGTATTAATAACTCATAAGAGAAAAAGCCAGCTGGAACAGATATGGATACCAGGGAGGGGAAAAAAAACAAACAAACATCTTTCTGATAGGAGGTCCTGATTCCTCCCAAAAATATATAGTGGCAAACTGTCCAGATTGGCAAGCAGGCTTACCTGCGTGCTCCAAGTTTACATACACACACAGGCCGTTAGTTTTTAAAAATCCAGGTTTATCTTGATGCTTTGTACTCAACAATTTCTTTTTGAAAATATTTACACTCTTCTAGTTCACTTTCTGGTTCTCAGCCTGCCTTTAAAAGCTGCTGTTGCACTGAGGTCTCTATAGCAGTAGAATAATTCTTGTACGTTTACACCTCATTTCACTGAATGAAACAAAGAGAAGTTTCACTTGGATTAAGATGCACCTTTTACACATCGCTAGAAGTCACTTCCACTCAAATGTAGCTTTAGTCAAAAACCCAGCGCAGCGGAAGAAACTCTTCCCAGCATCATTTGTCGTGAGATACTGGTGGTGCCTGTGCCATGCAAGTGTGTTGGCAAAGGTCTAGAAAGACTGATCCCCAGCCCATCATATGGATCGACTCAGCTACTTCAAAGCTGCATTTTTACTGCTATGGTTTTGCAGGGATATTTAGTACACTGAAAAAACATTGCCAGGAAAACAGCATTGAAGCTATGAGTGCTCTGCCAGCAAAGCACCCAGCTTCCTGACACAGCATACTATGATATTCATATTTAAGGGTGTATCTAAACCCTGAATGATGAACTTACTCAGCCTTATCCTCCACTCCCTGCAATGTATGACTGGTAGCCCATCCTGGTCCACTGATAAACGCTGCAGCTCCCTAAAGCTTTTTGAAAGACAAAAAAACCCACAGGGAAAAAAAAACAAAACAAAACAAAAAACCACCACACTCAGACAACTTCA